CATTAACCTACTTATTTTTTAATTCGAAATTAATTACGCTTTTTCTTCTTATACCCAGAAAAAGAGTTTATGCGTACCTATAGGGTTACCGGATATTGAGCTATATGATTATACTTCATATATAGAATCAGGTAAGTCAGGTATATGATTCTTAAGCATAACAATTTTTGCATGTAATTCAGCCTGTTTTTTTTGATAATAATATTCTTATTTTCGATATTTACTCACATGATTTAAGCATATACCATATGTAGAATATGTTAATTTACCACATTCTTTGCAAGGAATCCAAGTTGGAGAATTCCAATGAAGTTTACACCCTTCTAGACGATAGCAACCTCAATTGCAAACTTTGCCAGTTCTAAGAATATAAGGGCAATAATAGAGTCCCATATTTATTATAATAATAATTATATAGAATAATTAATTTCATTTTAAAGTTTTTTGGGTTAAGTATAATACTTTTAGTTTATAACTATATACTACATATACAAACAACGCATATATACAAATCAATAAAATGAGTTTGTCTAGTAAAGCAAAAAAACGTCTTCGTGAATCATTATAGCAACAGTACTTAAATCAAAAGTCAGCTGAATATAATAAAGCAAAACAGCTTTTTATGAGTTAACAGATCTTGATTATAAATCTGGTCATAGAGAACATATATTTTATAAATACTGGCTTGCATCCAAGCCTGAAGGGGCAACCCTAAAAGGTTATGACCATACTGATAAAAATGATACTGCACTTTTAAATACGTATCGACCTGAAGAAATTTCTGATGAATATATAATTCGGGTAGCAGGGCAGTATTTTATAGTTGTCAATCACCCATCCAAAGTTTATGGATTACCTGATGCTCACGAGTACATTGATGGTAATCTGCCTCTTTATCTGGTTCTGGATATTGATACGAGACAAAAGCTCGATCCCATGAATCCTGAACTTCTTTCTTTAGATAGAAGTAAAATTTCTCGTGAAGATTTATTATCTAGAATCTTAATTGCCTGCACCTATATTGTATACTCAGATTTAAAACATCTTATAACTCTAAATGCTTTTGTCTTTCTAGTTCATCTAATGCTAGTAAGTGCAGTTGGCATATTGTATATAATTATGCATGTTTGTTGACTACAGAGACCTTAGAGGATTTGTGGAAAAAGTCACCGATAGGATTGAAAAGCCATATTCAGAGTTTATTGATATTGGTCTCTATAAATCTCATTTTAGTCTTCGGCTCTTTGGATCAGCAAAGAAAGACAGAGTTAAATGACCTGCAGTTTCTTTAG